GGAAGACAACCTACGGCATGAAAAAGAAAAATATTAATGTTAGGAGTGTATAAAGGGGCAACACAACATCAAAAATGTAATATCAATGAACAGATAAATCTTTGACAGAAGCAACTTGCAAATGCGTGCTTATCCAAGAGAAATCGTTATAGAAAACGTGCACTGAAGTCAATACATATGGCGTTTACTACTGAAATTTGCTGAATAACGGCAATTTTCACGAGTTCAGGTTCACTGACATAGTAGCAAGAAATGCTCACGCCTTCAAGAGGACCCTAATGTACCAGAAATCCAAACGTTACAAAACAAGTCGTTGGAAATGTCAAATAACATCATAATATAGACTTAGAACTGCATATATAAAGGGTGACAGAAGAGTGTAGTGGTTGGAAGGGGATAAATTTCTAAATATGCTCTTCAGAAGTCTAAAGGGGAAAATTCGCCCTCAGAGATGTTCTCCGAGCGTTCCGAGATTGGCACAAGCTTGGAAAGCATGAGCTAGAGAGATTTATACAAACTTCTAAAGTCCAAGGAACAACTCGAGGATGGGTCTAGTTAATCATAGCGAATCTAGTTAATTATAAAAAAGACGGAAAAGGGTCACAAACGTACAGTGAAAACCACTATTTTTGGATATTTTGTGGAGATCATTTTAAAAAGGGGAGCTGGCCCGAAAAAGAAAGTCTGACCAGGAAAGGTCAACAGGTCAGCCCGGCCATATGCAATGAGATGCACATCATTGTACTCACCTTGACACGGTGAACTCAAAACTATCTTCAAAATTTGCGGAACGATTCTCTGAGCGGAGTTATGGAGGTTTTTCTTTACTGTTTTTCTTCTTCCAGGCGCGCTGGCGCCGAAGCGTTGGCACCTGTAGCGCGACTCACAGCGCTCTTCGCGCAAAATAGCTATCATATTCGTGTTCAGGGGGTCAAATAACCCCCAGAGACGTCATCGCGAAATCTGACCTTCTGACTCAACTTCGAAAAAATGGGGTATGATATTCATGGCTGACTGATAGCCAGCAGCGATACTACTACTAACTTACAGATGATCCGCGTCTTCGAACGAAATAAACTCTTCATCCGTGTCTTCCTTTGCTTTATTTATTTGTGCGCGTCTGCATCATTTCCTTGATTATCGGGAGGAAATCCCATTCCGAGACTAGTCATTGATGGTTAGGTGAGCTCCAATCTGCTGCTACTTACCCATGGAATAGCCCACATTTTCCAACCTAGGTCGAAATATCAGATTCGGATAGAAACTTGTCTCCAGAGGTAATTTAACCTGCTGAACATATAATATGATGGTATTTCATTGCAAAAACCCTTGTGACATGTGCTACGGAGGGGGGGGGACAAGCACGAGCACTCGTTTCAGGCCATAATGGGCCTGCACTTTCGAAAAAAACTGGTCGAAGTTTCCTTACAGGGTAGTGCAGGCGAGCAGAGATGTTAGAAGCTTTGTCGGCCATGTTCTTGGACAAATGCAAAAGGCACCCTTCCGGGAACCGGATGCTTAGGACGTCCCGCTTAGCAAACCCACCGCTATCCGTTGCGCTCTACTGCCACGTTTCAATTTGACTCCATTCTCGTATATAAAGACACTTCCACGCTTCCTCGCGATAGCATGTGAAACAACCACGCGGGGATGAAACCCTCCATAACGTTCAGAAAGTCGTTCCGCAAATTCTGAAGGTAGATTCGAGTTTCATGTCCCACAAAACGCGTACAGACGGGCGCACGCTTCATTGAAAAATAGCCGGGCTGACCTGTTGCCTTTTTTCCTGGTGAGAAGAGAAGGAAAGCGATGGGAACTTGGCTCATGGGAATCGGACAATACTATCGTAAAACAGCGCTCGGGAAACCACAACAAGGCATCGCCTCTGTGTTCCTTCCTCCAACCAAGGCTCAAGCTTAGCGAAGACTACGCTCTGCGAGACTTTCCTTCGCGACTTTGGTCCTTGTAGCTCTAAGCCTGAGCATTGGTCAGGGGAAGCGATGACGAGGTTTCACCGTGTGGTCCCCACCAACTACGTTAGTGATAATGAAATATACTGTGTGGTGCCCCTACGAAACTGCGAAACAAAATTTCTATGAAGATCTTTGAAAAATCATGGTGAAGTTTGCAAGGAACCCTATAGCTGACAAAGTCGACTCAAGACAGCCCCTGATATGCTTCCCACACCGTTAACTATAAAAAAATGAACAGTAGAAAGAGAACATACTCAAAAGCCTTAAATAAAGAAGAAGTGATAACAAACAAATATATTCAGAAAAAGTGATCATTTCTGACTGCGATTTCCGAGTGAGAATGCTGCTCTGAGCAGCAGGGCTAAATCACTCTTTGCTACCCCACTTTTCGGAAATTCAGGCTAATTTTCGGTTGAGGTAAGCGCTCGAGTCTGGATGCGGTAGCTTTACCCCTGATCATAAACTCACACGCTCGACGCAAAATCGCCTGACACTCGGGAGATGGGTCGGTTTTGGCGTGGTCGTCTTTAAAGCGCCAGGTATTTCCTCTCTAAGACTACATGATATGTGAAATACAAGCTCTGAATAGAATTTCACATAGTATTGTGGTTGGGGTCACGCAGCGGCGCGACGAAGTTCACTCCCGAGACGACTAAGCATGCACTCTGCTGAGGTTGAGCCATGTCCAAGCTCTAGGGAAGGATGGGATTACTTCGACGCATCGCCGCATCGTCTTTCCTCATCTACAGTAGCGCAGTAGCGCCCAAATTCTATCCCCATTTACCCACAAGGGACAGATTTTGAGAAGATCGAGCCAAGAACTCTGGAAGGTGAGGCAGCACTGGGTAACCAGCATCCAGGTAGCAGCTGAGAGATTCTAAGACTCTTTCTACCCGAATCTCCCGAAACAAGATTTCCAGTGAGCACACATGGTTTTAAAATCACGATAATGGAAATAAGGAAGATGAGTAATGTAGCTGAACGACCGCAGTGGGTGAACCCATCCCTTCGAGGAGTTTATTTTTAATTGTTGGGCAAAAAGGCCTCGTTGCATTGGAATAGCTTCTTTGAAGATATGCGTGGGTATTTTATGACACACTTTCCAATGTCAATAAACTCACCTCGCTGTTTGATTAAAGATACTCCATGAAATGTCTTGAACTCGAGGTTTCCCAGAAGCTGTACGACGAGCTAATTCAGTATAAACGGATGGTCCATGCGAATACCAGTAGGTTGTGACGATGTCAATGTAAGCAGGAGGAAGTCCTGAAGTCTGAAAATGACAGCAATTTAGCTGATTACAGAACCGAACTAATTATACCATGTAGGGAATAACCTTCAGAATGTTTGACAGCGACTGTCCACCAATCCGCAAGTAAATCAAATATTTCCACAAATCAGTGAAGAAAGACACCTGGAACAGTGATCTTAACCCTACACGACCCATTCGAAAAATATCATGACTGAAAAGAAAAGAAAAACGCTAAATGGAGTTAGAACTTACCAATGGTTTAATTTCATGAGGACTCAACCTAGAACTTTCGGAGTCCAGTTCGATTTCAGACTTCTCATCGAAACTGTCTAGTGACAAAGTGCGATTGAGAGCGAATAATGCTACCTGTAATCCAGCAATGGATTAGGAGCAGGGAACAAAGCACGCTAGTTTCTTCGAGAGACTGATATACCTTTCCTACAGCAGTCGCATCTATTTCGGGAATATCCTTTGGAAATACTGGCAGTTGCGGTTGGGACATCAGTTAAATATTTTGAAGAGCGCGCACTGTTCAAAGCATGCAGCGACAATTTTAGCGTTTTCTGTGTGCCCACGACAAAGCACGTTATTTGACGTTTTTCACGGATTACGGTGCTAATCTCACCTTACTGTGGGTGGTATGCGAGTATACTCCTTGTCTCCTTATCCCTGAGCCGGAGTAGGCGTGGCATTTGAGCATGGCACGGAACTTGTTACTCGTGCAGGGCACATCGTTGGTTGGGGAATCCCCAACAGGGGGGTCGTATTTGGCCGCCAGGAGAGGGGGGGTCGTAATGAGTGCGGTAGCCAGTAACGAGCGTCAGTGTGCTGAGTCCTGTACAGCGAAACTTGCTTTGTAGAGAACTCGGATATGTAAAAAAATAGTACAAAACTTTCATTCATCAAACTAATCCGAAATAACTGGAAATATTAATAAGTCGACATCATCTCGTAAGTGACTCATACTCTGGTTCGCTGCGGATGATGGGGCGCGTCCGCGATCGCGCTTGGCGCCTGACACGCCCGAGTCGAGCTAGAGTGGATGTTATCTATCACATGATATTACAGTCGTGTTCTTTGGGATGAAGGGGATTGTCGGGCGGGATGGGTTTGGCGGGTCGCCAAAAATCCGCTCTACACTAGTTGTTGAAGCGACAACATTGTATCATATCGTTCGCATCAGTCGTTACCAAATGTTGTCGCTTATCTGCGTTAACAACTGGTGAAGAACGGGTTCGGCAACGCTTCAAACGCTTCCCACCTGACACCTCCTTCATCCATAGCGAGCAAGAGTACGTCAAACGGGAGAGGACGGAGGGCTATACTAACAGGCAGCCAAGGCGACTGACTGCCACTCTTAGTTCCTCATCGACGGCGGCTTCAAGATAAACTGCACACTCACTTCTTTCATCCTGTTCCATGCAATGTGTGAAGTGAATGGGTCCGTGGTTGCAGTAGAGTGCCACCGTGCCTCCAGCTCTTTCGTTCCCCTGACTTGCAGTGCTATCAGGGTCCATCATCGTTCTTAAAGGTACCCTTGCGTTCATTTGACCTTCTTACGCCTTATTCCAACAAGACAGTCCTGTCCGAAAGCATAGATGATGTACTGCTCTCTCTCATCACAAAGATACGCGGCGACCGTAACAACTATACTCCATTCAAACGTGGCGGCTGCGGGGATTTGTTGGGGATATAGTCTGTGCGATTTTTGGGAAAGCTGCGTTCACGTTTGTTGACCAAGCGCGTTAGACGGACGTCCCCTGCCGAGCAATTTCGCGTCATTGGCCACATCCCGTTGCGCGATGGACGTCCTTGGCAACGAGCCGAAATGCCGGCTTTTGCGGACCGCCAAACTTCACACAGGGTAGTAAGTGCGCCCATTTCAGCACAATAAGCGAAGGGCGGGGAAGAGGTCGCCAGTAAGCTAATTAAACCCGCACAGCGAATATCAAGCTACGAACTCAACGAGTTCAACAACGGTACTGTGCCGGAGATCAACCCTAGTTAGTGCACATAGTTTTGCTTCTTTGTGCAGCTGGTTCGTTGCATGAGCTACACTCCTCATTCCGTCCATAGTGCCGTCGAATGTCCTGTCTCGTTTTCTGGTCCTCATCTCTTCGAGGGGATTCCAAAAAGATCCTGTGCGTATCTGACTCTGAAAAAAAGAGGCGCGATAGAAACTTAGGTGTGTCAGGGTACCAATTGTTCAGCCATCTGTTTCACTATCACATACGTACTCATCATCGCTCTGCTCATGTGTTACTATCAGAATGCGTCGATCATCTCTGTAAGCTTGGTTGCGGATTCGCCCACATACGCGCGCCAATGGCTTATTATTAGTTTAAACGGTTATGCTGTTCACGACACCTCCTGCGCCAACATCTATGAATGTGAAACAAACGGGAGACGAGCCCAGCAAACCTAGAGGTTATGTATAGCTTCCTAAGTGCGCACTGATGGAACAGGTAAACGTAAACGATTTTCCAATGAGATTTCAGTTAGCACTATTGAATGGCCGAGATGGAAGGGTCGAACGCAGTTGTATGTTTGCGCGCCACGATCTTGCACTAATACCTCTATTGATAGGAAATTCAATCAAATCAGGAAAATACGCTGGAGACCTCGTTTACCCTCGTTCAGTTTTAGCGTTCAGTACCTCAACGGTTTTGTATTGTCATCGCTTTCGCGAGACACTTGACGTGGGGATGTCCCTTTATAAACCCTTCATGTGAACCTATGGCCTCTCCTTACACTTCTGCTCCCTTTACGTGATTCCATTTTACCCATGCTGGTGAATCTTTGCTGGCCTCTCCGGTCCCCTTGCGCTGCCGCTGCGCTCATACTGTTGAGGCGTCTCCACGACGAACATTAGCGTTTCGTAACGCTCCAGCACCGGTCAAGCGACTAGGAAAGTATACTGGCGGTGGCGCAAAAAAAGTACATTTGACCCGAGTCAGCATATCAGCTAAAGTCTTGAGACTGCAGCCGCATGAGAGAGAGACGTGACTTACGAGTATGCCAAGGCGGGAAGATACCCAAGATGTTCCTCGATAAGCAGGAGCTGGCCCTCGCCCATCACCTTCATGTACACCAAAATATGAGGTCATCTCCAGTCGCAGCCTGACTGGAGAAGACCTTTGGAATTCATGTCACCTCCAAACAGCTGCGAAACTTCTAGTGTGGAGTCACCCATGGGTAGCTACCTGGAGACCAGTACTCTCAATCTGGAAGACCTCCAACATCGAGCAGCTCCGACAACGTCGCTACGGTCTAGGACATCATCTTCACGGCAGTCGCCAAGGCGCGGGTTGATGGTATGGACCGGACGCACCTGGAATGGAAAGACCAATATTTTCTTCGTGGACCCCGGGCTGAAGCTGAGCGCTGGCGGTTACATCGACCAACTCAAGAAGAATATCTTCTCCACATGTCGTCCCCCGTACCTTCTTGGAAACTTTGTACTGCTACAGCATTGGGTGCCACCACGTGGAATCGAAGGGCGTTGGAGAAACTCTCGCCTACCTGGAATGGAAGGGGGCTGAGTACCTAAAGAAGATGGAATATCCAAGTAGGTCACCTGACCTGAATCCCCTCAATTACCCGGTTCGAGCGAGTTCAGTAGGTGTGGTCTAACCGTGCGGAGACAAATCGACCATACTCGCTGATTCAGGGACACATCGTGTTGCTGCGCATAATTCTCTCGATGGCACTCCTCGCAGGAAAGGCTGTGGTGGAGTGTCATAATAGTATTTAATATGCTCTTTAATATGTTGGTAGTGTCCAGAGTTTATAAAGTGTAACTTATAGCTCCACGAAAGTCAACTGAACAAAGTGACTTTTTTTGCCGCCCCCCTATACATAGGTATCGATCTAACGTCTAACAGCGTCCCCTTCGGCGGAGTGGAGAGTATGGGGAAGTGGGAGGGTAGCAAGCAGCTGGATCAGGCGTCGTGAAATTGCAGCGTGTGCAACCGCACCGTACAACTGCACTACACCGTACATTAAATTGCATAATTCTGTGCTTTAGCAGTTGTGCGGTGCGCTTGCACACGCCGCAATTTCGAGGCCTAACGCAGCTGTTCGCTACTCTCCTAATTCCCCATACTCTTACTCCCAGTTGCTAGCGAACGCTAGTGTACGCTGGTAGATGCTGGCAGGCGCTGGTGGACGCTGGCAGACGCTAGATCGATATGTGTACATTTCTGGTCCCTGCCGGACACTCGAAACGTTCGTGGTCGATAGTGGACGCTGGTAGACACTGGTGAATGCTGCCGCAAAGTATGAACGCAGCTTTAGCGCAAGACTTCAGCATTCTAGGCATTTATGCTCTCCAACTAAACCTGTTATGCCCTCACAGGCACCTTGGCTGACTTTAGACAGTACTACTTATTATGACTACGAAGAAATATCAGGAGATCGTTTTCGAGGTGGTTGATGTTGATCCTGGTCAGAGCTCGAAGCAAATGGCGGTCCTACGGAGAAATACTAATAATGTGTTACATTGCTCCACCCCACTTTTTTCAGAATGTGACGAGTTGTTTTTGCAATGTGAGATCGATCGCCATCCCAAAAATGGGCGACTCTGAGTCGTCTCGTACGCTTTTTTCGTTTTGAGCCAGTTTCTATAGGTGAGCTGAGCAGGTATCGGCGTTGATTGTCTGCTTATATTTGAGCTGTTCCCAAAACAGCATGCCTTGTAAGTTCCAGGAAGTCAGGGCACAGTGGTCGGTAGGAACATCAGGCCTACCGACTAACATCAGGTCGTCAGGGTGGGAAGGCAGCTTCTAGACATCTTCATGACGCGCGTTGACGCGCGTTGTCGTGAACTCTGGACGCTGCCTGAGACCTACCCTAACCGTGTAGGCGTAGGCGCAGCGTAGGCATGTTACGCCTTGTTTTCAGGGAACCCGCTCTCATCTTCGGTGACGATGGAATTGAGAAGATCCTGGGGTTAGAAAAGCGTCTCTTGTGGATGATCAAGGGTGCTCGGACGTGGTCGACGCCTGCAGTTCCCATTAAGACACCACTTTGCGGTAGCATAGTCCACAATGTTGCTGCGGGCGTGTCCAAGCTTCTGTTTGGAACCCTTCGTAACAGCACCTAGATTCACTCGCAACTCATAGCACAAGAGACCTTTGGAGGACAAAGGATAGAATCTTCGCCGTTGATCAACCATTTCCAGGATGCGGCGCGCATTCTGCTTCTGCTCAGGATTGTAGAGGCTTATTAAAAAGATGTAGCCCGTACATCTTAGTGGCTTGCGTGGGCCACTCGATGCACAAGTCGGTTCTTATAGACTCAAAATACCTGGCATCAATCTATCGTCGCCGGGAGGTAGAAGACTTGGTTGTCTTGAGCGGGGAACTGGTCCGGGATTTGACTCTCGGACCGTGAGCATGGTAAGCGGGCCACCTGCCACTACACAACCTCCATCTCAAGGAACCTTGATCCATCGTAATATAGCTTTCTGAGGAGGCTCTATGTCAAGAAATCGGGTGTGGG